AGGGACATGGTTTAGTGGTGGGATGGCAGGGTTAGGTTAAAGGTTGGACTCGATGATCTCAAAGGTCTTTTCCAACCAAAGCGATTCTATGATTCTATGATACTGGTGGCCATGTCGGAGAAGCAGTATGAGAAAGCACACCACTTGACACAGCATATAAATTGTCAGCTTTCTCCCCAGTTTGGGACATGGAAGGGATATTCCATGGAACAAGGAGGTGCAGCAGCCTGGGATTGTCACGAGGACAAGTTAGTTGAGATATCTTCAACAAAGTCTGGCAATGTGGTAGCAGTGGTAAGCAGGGAAGCTACTTTATGGGCTATTTTCAGCTCATTTAATGGCAACCCTCTAAAAATAAATCACAAGTCACCCTTTGTTGTCAGCGGAGAGACACAGGCACCTCAGAAAGCACATCATGCAATCCATGGGTAAGACAACCCCGTGGAGGTACCTGTTTCTCTCCATTCAGTGTAAGAACAGTGCAGACAACTGTGAGTATATGCACAAAATTAGGCAAGAGTAATTCTACTTTGCACAAAATTGAGACATGTCAATGAGAATTTCTAGACCCTCAGTTCTGCCAGAGAGAAGAGCTAATCTGGTAGCTGGTTTAAATAAAAGCTCTATCTTTGCTGGACTAACTGAATGAACGTGTGTACTCCAACACCTCAGAGAGGAGCACTATCCCCATGACTTTTCCCTTTTAACCAGTGCTGATGGGAGAGAGGGAGGGATGGGAAGTATACGCAGATCTCAGTACATAGCTTTTTATGTAATAACTAAATGCCTAGAGTGATATAATTTTAATCACATGTACATGCCTTAGACTGAAGGCCTTCAATGATGAGTTGGAAAGGAACATTTAATTATTCTATGATGGAATGACTACGTCCGTGGACAAGGGGAGAGCTATGGATGTCATCTATCTGGACTTCTGTAAGGCTTTTGACATGGTCCCCCCCAGCATTCTTCTCTCTAAATCAGAGAGAGAGGGATTTGATGGGTGGACTGTTTGGTGGGTGAGGAACTGGTTGGATGGTTGCATCCAGAGTAGTGGTCAACAGCTCAATGTCCAGACAGAGATTGGTGATGAGTGGTGTCCTTCAGGGATCTGTACAGGGACCAGTGACCTTGCCCTGGATAGAGGTGTTGGCAAATGATGTTAACTCTAGTGAGAATGCAAACACAAACAGAGTGCCTGATTGGCAATGAGAAATTGAATATCAAATGGCACCTTATAATAAATAGCTGATGCTGCTGTTGCTCTGATTCAGTCATCACTTTCCCTAAAAGTCTTAATTAAAATAAGCAAGTTAAAAGTAAGACTGACAGGAGGGGTCAAAAGCAGGGGTGAGACCTGCAGAGGCTCACTAGCTTTAAATGAATGACACTAATGTGAAAAAACACAATGGAAATTGAAATCTTCAAGACCTTGTTTGCTTCTGTTTTCAGGAAAAGAATGAATTGCAACTAAAACCTTACACAGCATCAACGAAGTGAAGTTCAGAACAGAACCCAAACTAGGAAACAAGCAGGACCAGTGGTAATGAGACAGGTTAAACATACTAAATTAATCTGTAAAATTTGTTAGACAAATTAGCCTGTTAAAATCTGTTGTTTGCTGATTGTTGAAGCAATCCTAGAACCTTTACTGATTACCTTTGAGACCCTGTAGAGGACAGATGAGGACTGGAGAAAGGCAAGCATACTTCTTGTCTTTAAAAAATGAAACAAAAAAGAGGATCTGGGGAATAATGACCCAGTCAGCCTTATTTCAAATCCTGAAAGACTTCAATAGAAATGGTCAAATGACAAATTTGTAAATCTTTGAGGAGAGAAGGGAGATAAGAGAGAGCCACCAATGTTTTGTCAATAGCAACTTGTGTCAAACCAAGCTAATTGCCTTTCCTTCCTTGGCCTAGGCAATAAGAAGGAAGCCATTATTATTCGATATTTTAGCTTTAGAAAGGATTTTGTCACTCTCCTGTAGCAGAGGGCAATATGGCCTAGCTTATGTTATTATAGGGTGGATAGACAGCTGTTGGCGTTAAGAAGAGCCCAGCAACAAACTGAAATATTTTCATAATTTTAATCACCTTTTCCAATGGCTGAAGGAGATCATTTGAATTTGCAGGCAGCACTTGCCCAGGAATATCTGTGGGCAGTGTTGGGAACAGGGTTAGAATTCCCAGGTCTTTTCATTAGAAAAATGGTCTGAAATCAAAGTTACAAAATTAAATTTAAAAAGAGAATGTTGAGGGAAGTACCTGGACAAATAGGAAATAGAAAGAAAAGAATTGGGAAAGTAGTGAAGCCCTAAGCCAGAGCAGCGTGAGATGCCTTAATGTGAGTAGCAGACTGGGCAGTTTTGCAGAGAAGGCATGTGCTCTCCTTGGACACCATGCACATGGTCTGCAACTCAGCAGCGTTCGCTTTTTCTCATTCTTGTCTTCACCCTGGCTGGTCTGGCCTCAGACAGCGTGGTCTCATTTAACATCACGTTTTTAATGTACCGATGTGCATTTTTAGAAAGAAACATACACAGAACCAAAAGTCAGTAGGAAAATCGTACCAATAATGGCAGATGTGGAAAGCAGAAGTGAAGGCTGAGCAGTTTGCCCTGCTTATTCCTGACAAAACATGGCAACTGCCTACAGTTAAGTTTGTTCTAAGGAAGGCAGTGTTTGGTTGTTTACCCTGCCCACTGTGGGACAGAGCAAGAATTGGTTCTATTTGCAGTTGGAGAAGTTGAGGCGAGATATTAGGAAAAGATTTTTAACTGTAAGGGAACTGAAACATCAGCGCAAGTTATATGGGGAAATGTTGTCATCATTAAATTGGGAAAATTTAAAAACTTCAGTGAAAGATTTAAAAAGTGATTGGACAATTAAATGTCAGGGATCGCCTAAGTACACTTGGACTAGGATGCAGTGACTCACTTTTTACAAGGAGAAGAAAAGCCTGCAGCTGCAGGCTTGCCTGGAAGCTTATGAATCCCACTGGGAGGTAGCCCAGGATAGCCTGAGCCTTTTCAGGCACCAAAGAGGGCTAAAATCCACTTGTCCTATTTCCAGCAGCGCTCCTTGGTCGTACTTTTGAATTAAAGGTATTTTGCAATACTGCCGTGCTTCGTGCAGGATTCAAGGCTGTCAGCGTGAACTCAAAGCTTCTAAGGAGATGCACTGGTTACAATTTGACACAGATTTTTAAGATTGCATCCTTCAATTTAGGTGCCTACCTACATTTTACTATGCTTGAAGTGTCACAGTTTTGGGTCACAGACTGAGTTTTGCTATGCAAACACCCAGTGTCCAGAAACAACAGGATCCCAGTTAAAGCTTGGGCAGCGTTGTACAAATAAATGCATAGGCAGATGCTGGTCACCATGGAAGTGCTTTTTCTTGCTTCCCTCCCCTCTAATCACACTATTTCTTATACCTGTGGCAAACAGCTTGCTGTTCTGGTAGCTGTTGATTTGCAGGCTGTGTTCTGCCAGGGCTGAGCACTGTGGCCAAATGACAGTGGTTTAGGTGAAGCAGACTAGCAAGAGCAGCAAGCGCTCAGGGTCTGACCTCAGAGTGCTCTCACCCAGGTTGCACGGGGGCTCAAATGGGTAGCGAGGAGAAGTGTGTTGAAAATCAGGTGGGAGATTTATGAACAACCCTTCTTGCCAGCTTCCTGCCCTGTTTCTGGGCAGTTGCATGAAATGAAGGGCATTTTCCTGGAGGGTTTTGGATGAGGTTAGGTTGGCTTGGTTGGGTAGGTGTGCTTGGAGAATGCCCACAAGAAGAGGGTCCTCTGGGTAAGAGGGCTAAACAGCCTGCCTGGGCTTGGGTGGGAGTTTGAGCTTACACAAGCTGAGGGTTCTCAGTATTTATCTTGGGTTTTGCATGCCCGCACACTGAAAATGAGCTGAACGAGACTGTAGCCAGCAGCAGGGGAAGGCAGTTGCTGAGAGAGGGTTTTGCCAGATGCTCAGTGCTGGATTCAGACACTTGAGTGCTTTTCTATATCAGGCTTCAAGTATGTAAACGCACAGATTATAATAAAGCCCTTGATCCTCTTCAGCAATGACCTGAAAGAACTCTTGAGATATTGTTTTAACATTTTAGAAAATACTTGAGACCATATTTGGCAGGCATCCAGCTGCAGGAAATGTATGAGGTTCTCTGCTCTTATCACCTTAGTGCAAAGGCCACAGCCTGGGGCTATGGATTGTAGTGTACAGTGCAGCTCGCTGGTTAGAGAGGGCCGAGTGGGCACTGGGTGAGCTCCCATATCTTCATGGCAAAACACAGTGCATGCATTCACCCCAAAAGCAGTAGAGCTCTGCTGACTTGTTCGCGCACCGTTCTGAAATTAGCTTGGGTGTCTTCTACAGCACGTGGTGTGGAGAGCTCCCAAGAGTCCCCATGTCCAATTCCCCAGCTTTAATTAACTGGGAACAATCTTGTCCCGCATTCTGTACTGAGTACAGAAAGCCAGTAATTGTTTTTAACCCCACTGGAGATGAAACATTTTTACACAAGTCTTACGAAGTCTTGCAGCTGGTTTGCAAGCGTTAGATAAGAGGTAAGGAACAATTAGGACTCCAGATGGACTTTTATTAGTTGTGTTTAGGGCTGATATGCAAGATTCTGAAGACTGCAAAGCTATTTTTGAGGCTGGTTCTTCAGCTGAAATTCTGTTCCTTAAACAGGAGAGAGACTAAACAAGGTGGGTTTGATTTCTAAGAGCTTCGAGTGGCTGAGCTGAGCTGAGCTGCATTACAAAAATAATTGAGGGAAGTGTGAACATGAGCTAGGAAATAAAAGTTAAGTGATAGAAGTGATAAGGGATAATAATTTATTTTCCCTTAGGGGTGTGTAGTTTTCAGAAAGGTTTTATCTTTGCACAGGAAATGGTATGAATGTAAAGGATTTTCTGTTGTAAGTGTATGTGCTATTATATTGTTTAGAAATATAATGTATATTAACACATTTAATAGGTGTTTTGCAGAGCAAGAATAGATCTGTTTTTCTATTAATGCATGTTTCTATTCATAGTATAAGTTTAAGAAGTGTATTAAAAAGATGGAAGAGGAAAAGAAAATGTGATGACAATGAAGAGAGGACTCTGAAAAAGGCAGAAGGAAACACAGAGAAAGAGGATGAGTAGGCAAAGTGAAACGAGAGAAACAAAAGAAAATGGAAGGGTCAGGAAAAATGTAACATGTCAAAACCAGCAGTGAATCCGATACTATTATAAGATGTGCAATAAGGAAAGAATGTCTTCCAGCAAAAGGTTTTATGGCTTGGCTAAAGGACACTGTTTATTTCAAGTGTGAAGTACTGTGATGCAATGTCTATTTTCAGGATTGAAGTCTCCAAAACTGGTTAACCCTACTAGTACATATTGCTGACCCCCCATCCAGAGCCTGCTAAGTCAATGCAAAGACCAGGAGAGTGGAATTCATTTGACCAGGCAGGTACCCACATCTGGCTAGTACTATGAGACTGCCTCGATATGCCACAGGGAGAAATGGGCCCTACTGGAGCGATGCATAGAATCACAGAATCATAGAATCATAGAATGTTTTGGGTTGGAAGGAAGCCCTAGAGGTCATCTAGTCCAACCCCCCTGCAGTGAGCAGGGACACCGCTTACTAGATCAGGTTGCTCAGAGCCCCGTCCAACCTGGCCTTGAATGTTTCCAGGGATGGGGCCTCCACCACCTCTCTGGGCAACCTGTTCCAGTGTTTCACCACCCTCATTGTAAAGAATTTCTTCCTTAGATCCAGTCTAAACCTACCCTGCTTCAGTTTGAAACCATTACCCCTTGTCCTGTCACAGCTGTCCCTAATAAAAAGATTTTCCCCATCTTTCCTATAGGCCCCCTTTAAGTACTGAAAGGCCACGCTCAGGTCTCCCCACAGCCTTCTCTTCTCCAGGCTGAACAAGCCCAACTCTCTCATCCTGTCCTCATAAGAGAGGTGCTCCAGCCCTTGGATCATTTCTGTAGCCCTCCTCTGGACCTGCTCCAACAGTTCCATGTCCTTCTTGTGCTGAGGGCTCCAGAGCTGGATGTGTCTCGTACTAAAGCAGATGACTAAAACAGGCTTGAGGAATCATGATCTGAAAGGGTGTTTCTCTCCATAGATTGTAACTGAAACCTAACATATCTGGCTGGAAATCTGTATTTGGCCAAGATGAACTTCAGTGCCCTGACTTTGGCAGGCTCTGGCGTGTTTTTAAGGAAAAGCTGTGTGTGCCATTTTGTTAAAACACTGTTAGTCGCTGCTGCCTTCTGTGAGGACTAGTGTAAATGAGCCATTACTGAATATTTATTTGTTATCATTAAAGCATAATTAGACCTTTGGTGAGGCTGCATCTGTAAACAAATGATGAATGGCTTACATTCTTTATCTCCTTTTTACTTATATGCCCAAGGATGAGGACTGTAATCAATTTCTGTATTAGTTTTTTTTTTTAAATGGGAATACACTTGTTCACTCAAAATGACTTTTCCATTAAGTGCAGAGCTCGGTTTCACTGACTTTTCTTGAGCTCAGAGGACTACTGGCACTTCATAGGAGACTTTGGGGAACATTTAGTTGAGAAACAGTCCAATTTCTTTGGCAAATATTGAGGAAGGGAGAGTTTCTTTCTTCCTTTTCTGTAATCCTTTTATGAGATGAGGATTCTGTTCCCTGTTCTCTTCTGTAAATCTGGAGATAGATCTGCTGGAGGGAGATGAACCTCTGACGGCAGCAGGTTGGAAAGCTCCTTGGTCACTTCCAAAGTATGTCCAGAAAGTCTCTGTCAAATCTTGTTGGGTGGGCGATGTATTTTGTGTCTGAAGTTGCATTTCTAATTTATTGCCTGACTTCAAATACAGGAACTAGGCAGGTAGCAGAAACTGTTGAAGATATAAATGAAGAGTATTTGGGTAAGGAGAACTGTGCTGTTATAAAGTAAGTGGTATTTTCAGCCCCTCTTCTGCAGCTCGTGAGTATGCTAACAGGCGGCTGACTGCTGTCAAAGTGGCAGCAGTGAGGGACCAGCAGCGATTAGAGTTTTAGGAACGGGGGCAATTAACAAACATTTTTGAATCATCTTCTCATGCAATCAATAGTGTTAATGGTCATTGATTTTCCTATAGCCAGCAGAAGGCGTGTTGCTGCTATTTGCAGTTATCTAACGATTTAAAAAGTGGCAGAAACCAGAGTCATCCCCCAGTAGTCATTGTTAACTTCTACAGGGGTTGATGAATCCTGGTCGTTCTGAGAGCCAGGCTGTGCCCAAGGACTAATGGGAAGCATTAGTTTTGCCTGGATAAAGGCAAGACTCAGAGCAAACCCAGCCTATAAAACCCTAAAATGAGAGTATCTTAGCCCATGCCCTACTACAATTTCTCCCTACCCTGGTAGAAAAGTAGGTTTGCAAACTGCCCTCCAAGGTACCACTACCTAAGTTGATGACTTCTCTTGGATGTATGTTATTAAAGAGCTTAGACTATTAAAGAGTACATGCACTAGGTTCCCAGCACAGAGGTTAAATGGATCCTTAATTCTTGTGGGTATAACACTGTGAACATCCTTAGTGTGGCTCTAGTAAAGAGAGGAAGACGAAGAGACATAAGAGCTGCATTTCAAATAGTTGTGGGTCTGAAGGAAAGTGACTCCTACTTCGTGGTATCTTAAGTCTGGTGTGGTACTTCTGAAGTGCTTCTTGCATCTGAAGAGTCTGTCTTTTTTTGCAGGCTTCCTCTATGACCTTGAGCGTCTTGTCCAAACCAGATCGGCAGAGACTGATCTGGGGTGCTCCCACACCACTGAGCATCTCTCTTCCTGGGATGAATTCACAGAGCTAAGGGAGGTGCAATGCAGAGCAGAAAAATGTGCTTGAAATCCCTCTTACACCCCAAGTATTAGGTTTCTTGAATGTATCACTGTTTCTCAGGTAGGCTCAGTGTATCCTGTAATGTCTCTGGGTCTAGGAAACTATCATCCTTTTAAATATAGATAATACACCATTTCCTTCCTTTCAGGAAAGTAAGGGCAGTATTTGTACCAACAACTTTTTATGTAATAACTTAGTGAGTAAAACACCCAGACACAAGGGATTTTTACTTAGTAACACCCAGTCCCGGCAAAAGCCCATTTTATAAGGAATAAACTAGTCCCTGGAGAGAGAAAGAAAGAAAAAGAAAAAGTAATAAAAATCACTTTGGCTTACTTCTAGTATATGAGCCAAATTACTTTTTTTTTTATTAGTCTGCCCAATTTCCTCATCAGAGTTTCACAGATTTTTAGGCAGCATTAGTTTTGTCCCAGATCTTATCTCACATTTATTTGCAAATATCACATTAATTCATTAAGGGAATAATTTCATTTTGTGCTCACATGGTGAAAAAAAAATAATTTACAGAATTGTAATTTCCTCTGCAGCCTTTCATAATGAGAAATACTTCAGGAATAAGCAGTTTTAAAGTGCATAAACTGTCTCTCCCTCTAGCGAAAACTCTGCAATCACTGAGGGAAGCACCCTTCTCTTCTGCGCTGTTAATGAACAGGCAGCAGTGTGAGATGCCCCAGCCACCCAGTGTAGAGGGCATCGATTCATGCCAAATATTCTGGCACTCCTTTATACCCACTGGGAGAGGAGCAGCCTCCAGAAACAGTTGCTGTCTCCTTTCCTGAAGCTTTGAGTTTTTCCAAATCTGCTGTCTCACATTAGATGAAGTCCCCTCTTCACCAGGAGGAACTCCTCCTGGAGGAGATGGCATTGCAGTCTGTGAGCCAGATGCTGGGGTTAGTTCCAAACTTTATTTCCCCTGCAGGTGGTACGTGAGGATGGGAAACCATTTGCTGGAGAGATCCTTCTGTTGGAGGAGAACAAGAATGATCGGGCCATATGCACTCTGCAACAGGGAGGTGGTACTCCTGCTTTGTTATTAGGTTGTCCTACTTTATGCTGCTTTGTAAGGGGATAAGGGAAGGAGGATATAAGGAAGAAATTCTTTACAATGGGGGTGGTGAAACACTGGAAAGGGTTGCCCAGAGAGGTGGTGGAGGCCCCATCCCTGGAAACATTCAAGGCCAGGTTGGACGGGGCTCTGAGCAACCTGATCTAGTAAGCGGTGTCCCTGCTCACTGCAGGGGGATTGGACTAGATGACCTCTAGGGCTTCCTTCCAACCCAAAACATTCTATGATTCTATGATTAACTTAAAGCAAATTATCACAGAATATTTTTTTTGCTCATTTCAGCTAGTGACGATCAATCATCCCCTGAAAAAAGATGTCAAAAAAAGCTTCCAAAATCCTTCCTACCCTTCCACAAAGAGCTCTGACTTAGAGCCATGGTGGCAATATTTGTGACTATGGATTTTTTTAATGTGAGGTAGGTTACAAGAATCTGGTTTTTTTTGACTAAAACCATGTGCTGGACCCTTTCTCTTATTATCAGTCTTCCTGAGCTACCAAGAACTCATTGCATTAAGTTTTCAGACCTTCTTTCAGCTCTTTCAGTTTTGCAGTCCAGTGGAATAGGTTGTCTCACTGTTATAAATGATATTGCACTGCACTCCAACTTGCAATCGGGAGTGAAATTTGCATCCCTCCAAGCAGTGTTCAGTTGCCAGCCTCTTATCTCCTTTCTCTGGCCCACTTAATTTAGAGGCAATCAATTTAATCCTTGAATAGTTTGCACAGATGATTACATCCTTCCAGCTCCTGTACATCTTTTTTCTGAAAGTTTCTCTTTTGGTGATGCATGCTGTGTGTCAGCCCACGTTGCACATCCAGGGGTACCATTCTTCCACAGAGTCCATGACAGCATCTCAGACAGCAAATAGAGGTTGTCTTCATTCACGCAGGCTTAAGATGGGGTTAAATTCAACCTCTCCCACAGGACTGACACAGGACTTGTAGAAAACCAAAGCAACGGGGTTTATTTTGCTTAAATAATTTTGTTTACAGAATGGCTTTTAACACCTCTAGCTACCTATTTGTGGGCTGAATCATTGGGGAGAGAGGAGAAAAAGAGCTAAAATAGTTTTTTCCCTGAGTCATTTTAAAAACTGTGAGGCATTTTGTCAAGGAAAGTTAGTGAGTTTCTGCACTCTGCAAGAGTGCTTTTGAAGGTACGAGCCTGCTGTCAGTAGTTAAATGAATAGTGGTCTCAAGCTGAATCTCTGAAAAGGAGTTTTAAAGAAGGAATTGGTCCAGAGCCAGAAACAGAGCAGAAAAAAGGAAGAGCCACAGAGCAAAAAGGCAGCAGGAGGCTCAGTAGTGGGTAGTTTTGTGGGTAGCATTAAAAATGGTGACATTTATACTGTGGTAGCATTTAAAGGCTGTAGTCAAAGGAAAGGCCCTTTTAGACAGGCCCTGTGCATACGTGAACAGCTAAGTGGCTGACAAGTGCTGAGAGGTTGATAGAAGAAAGCAAAGTGGTACATGGGGAGTAGGAGGGATGATTACGATTAGCTGAACTATCTGGTCATAATCCATTCAGCCCTGAGCCTCCCGTGATTGTTAGGGAGGTGTAAAATGTTGAACAAAATAGCAGCACTCCCAAAGGAGTGCCAGTATTTTAGTAGCTGGTTGGGCACTTGAAGGGTTACTGCAACCTGTGTCCTGTGCTTGGATCCCATCCTCTGAAATCCTGTCCGTTCATAGAGTCACATAAATTGGAAGGGACCTTCAGATGTTGTGTCATCCTCAAAGCAGGGATAGTCTTCAGGCAGGTTACCTTGCAAGGTTGCCAAGGTCAAAGCCTCCACAGCCTGTATGGGCCTCTGTTCCAATCCTCATGGGATTTTTTTTCCCCTGGAATTCCTCATGCTCCAACTTGTTTGCCTTTTGTTTTACCACTATGCACTTCCTAAAAAGTCTGGATCTGTCTTCTCTCTATCTTCTGTTAGGCAGTTAAGGCAACAGGATCCTCACCCCGTGGTTAGTTTTCTCTTTTTAAGAACGAATAAGCCCAGTTCTCAGTGTCTTCTTGGATGCCATGTGCTCCAGTCCCCTAACCATTACGCTGGTCTCAGTTGGACACAGCCCAGTATGTTGAAGTCTTTTTAGCATAAAGGAGCCAAAAATGGGAAGGTGCTCCAGATCTAGTGTAACAAGTACTGTTCAGCCTCAGGATGGTGGATCCACCCATAAGGATGCTAATGAGGTACTGGACCATACTTTACAAAACAGACTAAAGAGCATAAAAATAGTTTAACAGAGGATTGTAAGGACACCCATTGATAAAGGAAATGCAGGGGCAGCTGATACAAACAGGACTGGAGCCAGACTGTGATCCCAGTAGGGGAAAGGGAGTGAGATCTCATATAGGACATGAACCCAGATGCCTACCAGTATTTATGAATTGGAAGTCAAGGTAGTTGCACCCTTAGCAGCTAACTGCTACAGGCACAACATTAATAATCCATAACTATGGCTATTTGAAAATCTGAGTACCTCTGGTCTGCTCTTGCTACCTATAGATTCATCAGATTTTGTCTTCTGTAATGATGTTCCTAATTTTAAGAATTTCTTTTGTCATACTCTTTGTTAGAAGTTACCAAATCTGAGTGATCACTCCCTGGGGAAGCTGGTTCAGGAGGTCCATTTGCTTTGATTAGGTTATCAGGGTTGCTCCATTCCTTTGTGTTTACAGTAGCTGTTTTTTAATCACACAGCTGGACACTATCTTTTTTCCTTGTCATTGTTCTAACAGATCTACTTGTCAAAAATAATTTGCAAACCTTGCTTCTTGGAGATGAACCCCTAATAAGATTTTCCCCTATGGGAATGAAAAAAGGGTAATTTTTTTTCTAAAGCTTCAGGAGAAAATTTAGCAACAGACAGAAAGCCATTTAAACAAATGGAAAAATCTTTACTTCCACAGACCTTCTCATCGGAGTTACAGCACTGGGTAAATGCTTAAAGCCAGTGACGTACTCTTCCTGCCATTATTTCTTACTTTCACTCATTGTTCAGACTCCTACGTGTTAAGAGGTAGAACTGTTACTGAAAACAAGTATTTAATCATTTCAGCCTCATTTATTAGACAGGAGTGTTCATACTTTTCCCAGAATATTCAACATTGAAACCAGAGGAAACTTTTCCTTTTCTTGAAGTCCCAACTTTTCAACTAGATTTCCCCTAAAAGCTTTCTCTCTCTTTGGCCTGAATTCACTGTACTTGTTTTCATTGTGGTTTTTTTTTTCTTCTTCTTCCTTCTTTTCTATTTCTATAGTATTTTTCTTTTTTTCCTACTGTGGTGGGTTGACCCTGGCTGGATGTCAGTTTTTTTTTTTTTTGTTCTTCTTTCTTCTTTTCTATTTCTATAGTATTTTTCTTTTTCTCCTACTGTGGTGGGTTGACCCTGGCTGGATGTCAGGTGCCCACCAAAGCCACTCTATCACTCCCCTCCTCAGCTGGACAGGGGAGAGAAAATATAACAAAAGGCTCGTGGGTCGAGATAAGGACAGGGAGAGATCACTCAGCAATTACTGTCACAGGCAAAACAGACTCAACTCAGGGAAATTCATTTAATTTACTGCCAGTTACAACAGAGTAGGATAACGAGAAAGAAGAATAAATCTTAAAACACCTTACCTCCACCCCTTCCTTCTTCCTGGGCTCAACTTCACTCCCAATTTCTCTCCCTCCTCCCCTTGAGCAGCTCAGGGGAGGAATGGGGATTGGGGTCAGTTCATCCCACACTGTCTCTGCCGCTCCTTCCTCCTCAGGGCAGGACTCCTCACACTCCTCCCCTGCTCCAGCCTGGGGTCCCTCCCACAGCAGAGTCCTCCACCAACCGCTCCATCCTGGGTCCTTCCCATGGGCTGCCGTTCTTCACCAACTGCTCCAGCGTGGGTCCATCCCTCCCATGGGGTGCAGTCCCTCAGGAGCAGACGGCTCCAGCGCGGGCTTTCCACAGGGTCACAGGCTCCTTTGGGCACATCCCCCTGCTCCTGTGTGGGGTCATCCCTGGGCTGCAGGTGGGGATCTGCTCCACCATGGACCTTCCTGGTCTGCAAGGGCACATCCTGCCCCACCATGGTCATTGCACTGTCTGTGCTTTCAATCTTGCCTGCTCTTTTTGTTGCACATCATAGTTGGCGGCCTTTTGGTATTAGTTCATAGGTTCATTGGAGGGGCTGGGGAGTGCTTCACAGGCAGGTGTACACAGGGACTCAGAAGGCAGACGTGCTGTGGATCCCCCTTGCTTAAGGAGCCCTTTGAAGGCTGCCAGTGATGGTAAGGTAGGATAGCTTTGGTGATCCTATCCTCCACATCCCTCTGTGCTGTGGGGACAAACATTGTCCCTGACTGAACAAGGCTTACAGGCAGAATATCAGGGGAGGCATGCCTGCAAATAGACATGAGAGGCTCAGAAGAATAACATAGTCTGCATAGCTAGTGTGCTGAGAAAAGGCAGGAAAAACCAGCTTCCTGATAATTTTTAATACATCTTTTTCTGGTGTGGAGAATATTCTTATTGCTCAATGCTTCCACTCAAATTTAGACTTCAGTGTTGTACCATATCCTTAGCTTAAAAAACCCCCAATGTGTTCCATACCCTTCCATCCTAAGTTAAGAGTTGTGCAAGCCCCAAAGAAACCTCTCTGTATCTTTGGACTCCAGCCCCTTTTTTTATTCTCCCTCAAATTACCATTGCTATCAAAATTAATTTTTATTTCATCTAGAGGCTTCAGACAAACCTGAAGAGTGATTCTCACATGATGTCAATTGGTGTGATTTAGTGCAGTCAGTGTACTAATTTAAACTCACTTTCCCTAAAATTTTAGCTTCCGTTGTGCAGAATTTTCTCCCTGGTAAAGGCATTTTGTGATCGGGCACAGCCTTTGTTGTCATTCTAGTCAGTGATAAGAAAAGTTTGAACATCATTATTTCATTAGCCTCTGGTATCCTACATTTTATTTCTGAAGGTTTATTGATGTCTTCAAGTTGCAGTCATGCCTCTTAGACAATTCTCACTTTCCTATCAAATGGCACTTTACTCATGGCAAAGTGATTATCATAATTTTTTTAACTGATTTTTGGATATGAAATTTTGCTGCTATGATGATATTATGTTAAAGCCTAATAAATCTCCTTCTGATAAATTATTCTTATTTTTCAAATAAATTAATCCACAATGAAAATTAATTTAGCTGTGCCTAAAATTGGAAGCAAGTAAACATTAAAGAGGGAATTGGAAAAAAAAAGCAATTATCTGTTTAACTGTGCTGGTTTTATAGTTCATCAGTCATGATATGTGCTGCACTCTCTTGAAACTTCTCAGGTCTGACTTGTGCATTATCAGAGACTTTTCCGTTTTGAGATAAATATCTGGAGCAAACAGGAGAGACAGCTCGCTTTATGGAAGTTAGCACAAATGAGCTGCACCTATATCCTTCCACCATGATTAGCTGAAATGGTGTCCCATAGATTCCGCACCACCCTTGGCATCCTCAGGATGTCCTTGTATCAGGGCCCGAGCTCACCTGTAGAGGACAAACACAAGTGCAAATAAGACGTCATTGTGTGCTGTGAATTAGGGCTTGCAAGAAGTGGTTGGGTGCATTCTTACTCACTCTGAGCCCCCAAGACCTCTTTTTTGTAGGACATCCAACATAGTAGGTTTTGCCCATGTAGGAACCAAGGCTGTAGCTGCCAATCCAGCTTGCTCTGGCATCCCAAGCTGCTGAAACCTGCTGGTTTCAGCGAGGCGAGAAACTCCGCTGAGCAGTGCGGTGCCAGTGCACACAACGCTGATTACTGCACTCCTCCCTCAGCAGTCTGCTTTTGCTGTGTATTTTCTCCTCTTTGCTGCTTCCTCTTTGCTCTGTCTCCTTTTTTCCCAGGAGCGCTCGTATCAGCTGCCCCTGCAGAAGCACCAAGAGACACTCAAGTACAAGAAACCTCAAGAGTCTGTAGTAATTTTTTATTATCTAACATAATATACACATAATTATACACGATGATATAGATAAGAATTTAATTATACCTTGTTAAATTGATTTGCTGTGTAAACCTGAACTATAGTATAATGCCAGTTAGATAGAAAAATATTTGCTTTCCAATATTTTAAAGGGGATTTCAAGGCAAACAGAAAGAAACTCAAGCCCACAGAAGGGTGCAATGCATCTCACTTAGTTTCTTTTAAGGGCAGTGCAGGTGTCGATGTTTAAGCTGGTCACCTTGGGCCCTCTTTTTAACTGTGATGAGTAAAGTATTTTTTTTTAATCAGGATTCCTCTTTTCCATTTTAGAAGTTTCTTTATCAGCTATAAAGGGATCCCAAGGTGATCTGCTTAAATACAGGCACCTGCAGTTTCAGGTGACCCTCCGCTCTAAACTTCTGAAGCCAGATGTAAGCATTACTGACAAAAAAACTGGCTGGAAAGATGGGGCTGGCATTTGATTCTGTTGCCTAGCCCAATTTCTTATTACAAGACAATGCCTTTATTTAAGACTTTTTTTCAGTCACAAACACAAAGTTTTGAGGCTGTTCCCATTCTCCCTCTCCCTGTCAGAGGACTCCTGTAATCTGTGTCTCATGAATGGGAGATGTGAACTGCTGCTGCTGGCTTAGCCCATGGGCAGAGGCGTGGACAAAGATCACAGGAATGGCTTTCTACTGGAATATATGAGTGCCTGACCCAAAGACAAGTGACAAATGAATGGTAAAGTTCCCAATATCACCACTGATTTAAACTAGGCTCATTGTCTTGCTGACCTGCAGGAGACTAGAAGTGATGATTATTTATAAATATTGTCTTTAGCCATGCTGAGTATATGTATGACTGCCCATAATACAAACACAAAATGTATGGATCATTAGAGAAAAGGCAATATGAATGCCTAATTAAAGATGCCCATAATACAAACACAATCATTAGAGAAAAGGCAATATGAATGCCTAATTTGCTGACCATTTCTTTCTAGAAATCTGGTTTCACGTACCACCTCTCTGCAGATGTGGCAAAGGACGTATGTTACAAAGCAGTCCTGTCAGCCTAGCGTGGTGACAAATGCAATACATCTCGTATATATTTAAAGATGAGATGGGGAAGATGATTCAGTGATTAGAAAAATTAATTGTAATGAGATTTAATAGTTCTGTACTGAGGATCCCCAGGCATGTTCTAGCAAGAGCTTAGTGTCAATTCTATACCTGCAGCGAACAGGACATTTTTGAAAACTGGGCGTTAATCCCCTCATTCCATTACAGTTACTGGGCAACTGCAAGTGTTGTGATAAAGGTGAAAAATGGGTAAGCAAATACACTTCATTTTTAATTGCATTCTCTCTAGACAGATACTTAAATTTATTTTGCTTTTATTTATAGCATTGCTAAAAATGTATGTCCTGCAATGTCTTGTCACATGAGGATGATGAACGTAATCTGTCCTTTTCCTCTCTAAATGCTCTTCTGCACTGGAATCAGCATCAGGGTTTTTACTAACATTTCTGTGGCTTTTTAATTTTAAAATCTTGCTCACTAACTTAGCCAACTAGTGAATGTCATTGTACATCAAGGCCAAGGAGATGTTTTTTTAAAATGCAACTTACAAAATCATTAACCCTCCTGCCTTCTTCTTGCAGCTTAAATATTCACATATCTTCATTGCACATTCAGTTAGACAACAATAAGTTTCCCAAAGAAAAGCTTAATAATCGCATGTTGCCAAACTAACTGTTTGGCCAAGTACAGGAACAAGACGGACAAGCCAAGTAATCATCCTAGAACACACTGGTCCCAAAGAGGGCTCTGTGTTTACAGGGACCTGCATCTTCCAAAGGTAATTTGGAAATGTTTCCTATTGTGTATTTCAATAGAAAATAAAATGTAATTTCTAATTTACTTTCCACAAATAAGAGTCTTAAAGTGTTGACAAATGCTGTAAATGCCATCTGCTTGGGGTGTGCTCTGTATATAGCGATAATACAGG